GTCTGGTACATGTAAAGCTTGCGATCGAGTCGTTTGTATATGTCCCCTTTATTTCTGTCAGTCGCTGTCCATCACCGATCAGCTTGACTTTGTCTTGTCATCAAAATTTGTTAGCTGAGGGAGAAGAGGGAGTAGGTAAACACTTTACAAGTTTGAATTGCGGTTAGTAGACTTTGTCTGATCCTAATCGAGTGCGTTTTACCCCTCCACAGAGGCGAATTAAGGTACTCATGGAGGTCGCTCTCAATGCCAACAGACGGGACATCCAAGGACTTACAGCACGGTGAGTAATTTTATATTGTTTCCTTTTCTCGTCTTCCAACGATCTTGTTAAGCAGTTTCTTAAACACTTAACGAGCATTGCCTTCTGGGCATGAGGGAGCGTATTTTAATTTTCATGAAGTTTGCGCGTCCATCATTGAATACAAATAGCCCAGTAGGAGGACACAAAAAGGGATACGAAAGGATAGCCTGGGGGGAGGGAGGAAACTTCGGAAGCATAGAACAAGTAATTATAGCCGGTTGGCATCTTCTGAGTACCGGCTAAACTTGATGTCTTTTTTTATCTTAAACCTGCTCGTTTGGCAGAACGTTCGACTCAAGGTGGCATTGACTGCCAAAGTCCACCGTCTACCAAGACGGAGTAGACGTCTCCTATCGCAAAGGATCACTGGCTGCGATATTTACTCTGGATACATTAGTTTTTAAGTCAAAACCACAACCTTTGCGCCTTTCCGTAAGACAGCACACTTCCTTTCTGCAAATGAACTCCTTAACACCACAACGTCATCAGTGTCATCCAGATCCGTAACACAGGGGTGATCTGCCGGTGCGTTTTGAATAATCAAGACGAAAAAAACGTATTACAATGGCTTAAGTTAATAGGAAAGGCCCTTGCCACTGCGATCTTCGCGTCCGCTTCCGTGTGGGAAGTGAGACGCTAGGTGGAAAGAATAGTATATTCTGTACAGAGCTAGCGGAGAATAGATTGGAGAAAGTAGGAAGCCGAAAGAACGTGCTACCGCAGCCGCGATGGCCGGCGTCTGAAGTACGAGAGCGCGGAAGTCAAGCCAAATTTATTAAACGAAATATAGGCAAACGCCTTTGAATTCCCTATTGGTACATAGTGTTTAAGAAATGCATCGGCACAGCCGAACGCTTCAAAGAAGTCCTTTACGTAATCTTAGGCGACTACTCGCTTGTTTCAAGTAACACAGTCACATGTGGTGACGTCAACTAACACGAGCCAGCAGGTGTAACTGAGCAAAAAGAGCAGAGAGTGAAAAAACTCCTAAGGCATGGCTCATAATTCAAAATGGAATGTCATTTGTGGGTTTTAGGGAGACAAACTGTCGCTCGTGGGAGAAAGTATGCAAAAGATAGGACCAGCATGCTGCTGTGCATGTTGGCGGCAGCCATGGGGTCCATGACGAGTAATATCTACATCTGAAGGGCTACACGAGGAGGAGACCTCAGAGTCACGAGAATGTCCCCAAGAACCGGAGATGCG